TATGTGTGTGTGCATCTATACAAATGTGTATCTTTAATGGATTTACTTTTTTTATCACTTGCTCTGCAATTTTTTAATTCTGTAAATTTGATTTTTCATTTTAAATTTGTGTTATAGTATTATTAAATTGATTTTTTTTTAAAAATAATTAGCTTTGTATCGTTTTATTTTTTTATACTGGGGTCAGTCCGTTGATACATTCGTTCATCTAAAGAGATAAATCTTAAAAAATATAAAGTTTGGGAAAACCATGAAAAGGTACGTAACAAAGCATATAAAAAATATTAGGACGCCACAAAAAGCCCCTTGCAAAGAAGTGAGAAAATAAAGAACCAAAAATATTTAAGTTCACATCATATTGGTTAAAACAGCGTAAGTGAAATTTATTTTATCATTTATATTTATTATATGATTGACTATCCAGACATTTTACAATAAGAATATCATTGTCTACCCACACATTTTACAATAATAATATTATTGACGTTCTACAAATTTTACAATGAGATATTATTGATTATAATTATTAATTGATTAAAATTATGATATAATTGACTGACTATCCACACATTTTACAATTGTAATAGCATTGACTATCCACACATTTTTCAATTTTAATATCATTGACTATCCAGACATTTTATTAGCTGGACTACCCAGGATTCAATATTAGCCTTGATTGTCAAGCACACTTAGTTATAAAATAAAATACTCCACTTAACTAATCGTGTATTGAATGTGTTTTGAACGTGTATTGAACACTCAGATATTTTTCAAATCTGAGTTGGAGTCCCGTAAGGCGCATACAATGACAATTCCTGCAACCGTACCCATCCCTGGTCGTCTTGACGTAGAGTCTTGCCACTGGATATGGTGGGCCCGGACGAGAGAGTGAGGTTGACGCCGCGCAACTCTTCCTCACTTTAAACAAAAGTCACCCGCGCAAGTCATCAGTCACCGGACGACTCGATGGTCATCGTCGATCCTCGACGGACGAACAACATATTATTACAGTGGTCTTATATAGCGCGGTGCCCGGCACAGGGCAGAGATTGAGATTTGATATTTTCCTGCTAGAATTAAGAGAGAAGTGTACACGTTTTTTTTTATATCCCAATTAATTGTTTTACTGATATCTCCGAATGACATCGTGACTACACACTGTACAATGTCACAAAACACCTACCTTTGAGCCAGTCATTGGAGTGTTTGGGCTTTCTGGAACTTTTCGGTTGCTTTGCTGGAGAAGTATAAAATTATAACTGAGCTCGAGTGAAGATACAATTCAAACAATCATAAGTTATATTCAATGAAAGGTTTACAATAACTTTTTTTTTTAAATGGAATAGAATTCGTTTTACTTAATTCTATTAAAACTATTAAGGGCACGTTTATTTATTTTCTAGAGTCCAATGACATGTAGCAGTTTAGTTAATGAATAAAACTTTATTATAAACAGCATGGCTGACACCGGTTTTCAGATTTAGAAAGTTGTTTGACAAAAGTTTTTAATCAACATGAGGTCACATTATATTTTTTTAAAATGATGAAGTCTCAGGGCAACTTTTTCCTCATAGTACAGGACACATAAGCAAGTGACTACAAGAAGGTAGGATGTGGAAATATATGGCTGGAATACATCAACAAATTCTGAACGCTGTCTTTTTCATTGGTGGCGATGATCCTCTCTTACTGTTTTTAATTCATATGAGGTCAGACCCGGGGGGGGGGGGGGGGGAAAGGGGGGGGTAAATTGAACCAAAACCACTACCATTTTAAAAATCAAAGGCCATAAATTGGTATTACTTGTCGTCTTTGGGATCCATGAATATGTATGCAAATCTCTCCGAGTTACAGAATCACTTGTCTTTTTGGTCCTATGATCCTCTCTTACTGTTTTTAATTCATATGAGGTCAGACCCGGGGGGGGGGGTGGTGGAAAGAGGGGGGTAAATTGAACCAAAACCACTACCATTTTAAAAATCAAAGGCCATAAATTGGTATTACTTGTCGTCTTTGGGATCCATGAATATGTAGTCAAATCTCTCCGAGTTACAGAATCACTTGTCTTTTTGGTCCATGAATGCGTAACCAAATTTCTTGGAGTTACAGGATCACTTGTCTTTTTGGTCCAGGAATTCGTAGCCAAAACATTTTGAGTTACAGGCTCCAAATAAAAAGTAATTTCAAAATCAAAAGAATGGAATCCTGAATGCATATCAAGTCCAGGTCCGGAGTGCGCTAGAGGGGAGAATTATTTTTTTTTACAATGAGAGATTTAACATATGATGAGCGAATGTTGGCATTTTTGTTTACAATTTGCATTGAGTGATTTGACTTATAATGGTGGCAGTTTTTGTCTACAATGTACTTCGAGAGATTTGACATATAATGAGATAATGTTGGCCTATAATGAGGTAATATTGATCTATAATGAGCTAATGTTGGCAGTTCTTGTTTACTTTAGGAAAACTAATCTTTTAATTACGGCCAAACTGGGTTCTAGAAGGTATTGGCAAAAATAAAAAGTCTTTACAGTGCGGCATAAGGTAAAGACGATATATTCGCCTCCTTATGGTGGCATTTTATTCAAATTAAAAAGAAAATACAAAAATTAAAATAAAAAATGACATCATGCCGATAGTTTAGAGCAAAAAGTTTGACATTAATTTAGTTGTGAAAAATTTTTTTAATAACTCTCCGTTTAACAACGTCAATTTTGAATATCATCCCTCTTGGAAAAATAATAAATTATTAACCCAATAAATTTACATCAAGAAAATATCAAATGAATATCCTTGATACGGTTAAAATGAACGACCGTCGGTGCGGTTAAAAAAATATTCAGAAAGAACGTGTTCAACTTTTGATTACGAATGTCAAAACAAAAGTGTTAAATGATTTAACGAATGAAAAAAAAAATTGTGGTATGATTCCAAAGGGTACACCATACGTCAGCCATAAATAGCGTATAACAATGATGGTTCGATTTGTTGCAGAAAATGAAGCAACTGCCAACAAATCTTCACATGTTTTTATCAAGCACCATTGACTTGGATTTATAAAACTTGAAAAATCTACAGGGTCAAATATGATTGAAATTCTTCTAGAATTATAGCTTTTGTTTCGATGATATGGGGGAGGGGGTTTAAGTATATGGTAATGGAGCGAACGTGAGATTGTTACATGTAATAGAGATCAAGCAAGGGTTAAAGTGCTAAATCCAATAGCAATTTTTTGTGATGATGCTATAAGCATTCATTGAATTTTGCGGTTAATGATGCTGCAACAGTGTTAAAAGCTTCTGCACAGCACGTTGGGAAAGTACAGTTATGTAGCCAAGGAACATACAATTAAGGTGTCCTTTTAAACTAATTGACAACTGTATGAGATGTAGCGTATATCGGGTAGACAGTATACCTTTCCCCGACCGTTTGAATTATTTTGAGTTCAAAACCCTCCGGTCTTTCAATATAGATTATCAAGTGCGTTGTATGCAGTTTATTCTATATCCATCCGTTTAGATGCTCCTACAGTTTCACTGGCAGCTGCATTACCTTGTAAAAAATCGAGTCCATCATCATCTATTTGAGCTCTGGCTCCCCGAGGATATGATGCCGTCGTTCCACCTCTGTCGTGATGAAATCTCCTGCTATTGCTTCCTGAAAGAAAATATTGTTTTTATTCAAAAATTACATTTTCAGATAGGTAGGTAGGTAGGTAGGTGGGTAGGTAGGTGGTTAGGTGGGTGGGTGGTTAGGTAGGTAGGTGGTTAGGTAGGTAGGTGGTAGATAGGTAGATAGACAGACAGAAAGATAGACAGATAGACAGACAGACAGATAGACAGACAGATAGACAGACAGATAGACAGACAGACAGACAGACAGACAGACAGACAGACAGACAGACAGACAGACAGACAGACAGACAGACAGACAGACAGACAGACAGACAGACAGACAGACAGACAGACAGACAGACAGACAGACAGACAGACAGACAGACAGACAGACAGACAGACAGACAGACAGACAGACAGACAGACAGACAGACAGACAGACAGACAGACAGACAGACAGACAGACAGACAGACAGACAGACAGACAGACAGACAGACAGACAGACAGACAGACAGACAGACAGACAGACAGACAGACAGACAGACAGACAGACAGACAGACAGACAGACAGACAGACAGACAGACAGACAGACAGACAGACAGACAGACAGACAGACAGACAGACAGACAGACAGACAGACAGACAGACAGACAGACAGACAGACAGACAGACAGACAGACAGACAGACAGACAGACAGACAGACAGACAGACAGACAGACAGACAGACAGACAGACAGACAGACAGACAGACAGACAGACAGACAGACAGACAGACAGACAGACAGACAGACAGACAGACAGACAGACAGACAGACAGACAGACAGACAGACAGACAGACAGACAGACAGACAGACAGACAGACAGACAGACAGACAGACAGACAGACAGACAGACAGACAGACAGACAGACAGACAGACAGACAGACAGACAGACAGACAGACAGACAGACAGACAGACAGACAGACAGACAGACAGACAGACAGACAGACAGACAGACAGACAGACAGACAGACAGACAGACAGACAGACAGACAGACAGACAGACAGACAGACAGACAGACAGACAGACAGACAGACANGATAGATAGATAGATAGATAGATAGATAGATAGATAGATAGATAGATAGATAGATAGATAGATAGATAGATAGATAGATAGATAGATAGATAGATAGATGGATGGATGGATGGATGGATGGATGGATGGATGGATTGAGGGATGGATGGATAGATAGATAGATATTATTAATACATAAATATAAATATTATTTTATATTAAAATGTAAATCTTAGATAAACAGTTTATCTACTTACCTGTTGATATCTTTCTAATTTCTGCTTCCTTCAAGATTGACTCACTTTGCACCTGCTGACCTGGTTTCGTCACCACCATGGCAGTCAAAGGCGTGACAAATTTGTACTTGGGTAAAAGGGTAAGAACACATAACAATGTTTTTTTGACAACCGCTTGAGCCCTAAGTTGCATCAATATTCAGATTAAGCAAGGAAAAGCCCCCCCCCCCCCTTTTTTTCCCCCAAGTACATCTCGACATTATAAAATTACTGTATCCGTCTAAAAAAAGTAGAGCGAAACAGCGGCAGTTTGTGTCAACGTTTTTTTAACACTTTCATTTTTCTTCTTTGATGAATGTACCGCATTGGATTGTCCACAGCGTAAGCGGATTGCTCTAAACACAGACAGTCACACGATTAGAACGAGTCATGTCATTGCACTATTGGATTGTCCACAGCGTAAGCGGATTGCTCTAAACACAGACAGTCACACGATTAGAACGAGTCATGTCATTGCACTGTTAGGAAGTTATTAAAACTGTTTCCCAAATGCAATCCATCACGGAGGTAAGGCACATTTAGATAATCGCATCTGATACCAATTCAGTTCTGCATTCCTTAACTCGGATGGACTATCCACATAAAAAAAAAAAAAAGTTTTACCAGGCTCAACTGACTTGCTGGGACTTAGCGTGAAATCAGTTGGTTACAGTCCTAAGAAATGAGGGAATTATTTATTTATTTTTAGGTGATACGAACCATAGAAAGAGCTGTCAGTAAATGTCCGTAAATGTCCATAATTGTCCGTAAATGTCCGTAAATGTCCGTAAATGTCCGTAGGTGCTTTAGGAATGTCCGGAATAAATCGGGACATTTAACGATTTTTCTTTTAAGTAGAAAAAACGTGACGTCTCAACTTCTGTTATTTTTTTTTATGACTTCCATTTAACGTGTATTGTCATGATCAGTCAAAATTCAACACTGATAATTTTTTTTTCCCTCTCGTATCCCAGTATTGTTATCCAATGCGTGTTTACTTAGCAAACCACAGATGATGTGCAAGCGAAGAAAACATATACAACGATCCATTCGATCTCATTTTTTTCCCCTTCATGATCGTTGCTTATAAGATACAAAATAATATTTTAAATAGGCTCAAGCATGAGTCATACAGTTATAATTATTTTAAAAAATAGTCCAACGATTATGATAAACATCAGCACCGTGTCAAGAAGTCCGTAAATCTAAATTTAAAGGAGTTTTCAGTACATGCCCGTAGGTCAATGGTGTGGCTAAGGTTGATGTCACTTGTCAGTACATGTCCGTAGGTCAGTGGTGTGACTAGAGTTGGTGTCACTTGTCAGTACATGTCCGTAGGTCAATGGTGTGGCTAGGGTTGGTGTCATTTGTCGGTACATGTCCTTAGGTCAGTAGTGTGACTAGGGTTGGTGTCACTTGTCAGTACATGTCCGTAGGTCAGTGGTGTGGCTAGGCTTGGTGTCACTTGTCAGTACATGTTGTATGTCAATGGTGTGGCTAGGGTTAGTGTCAGGTGTAGATACTGTTGCTCGGAAGAATTTCCTTCCCCTCAGTTCACGCCTTCGTCATTCAATATCAAATCTACTTAGCCAAACTCTGAAAACTTAAACGGAAATGAAATGAACCAATCCATCTGTAATATGTCCTAAAAATATGTTTCCTTCATGGTCTACAGATAAAATAAAAACAAATATTATGAGTCACGCAGATAAAATAATAAACAAATCGTCAAACGGATTTAGTGTTCGTTCGTTAAATGCGAAGATGCCTAAGGCTTCGACTTGAGTAGTAGTTTTGACTTGAGTAGTAGTCTTGACTTGAGTAGTAGTCTTGACTTGAGTAGTAGTCTTGACTCGAGCTGTATTTTGGTAAAAGTGCAGGAGATTTGCTCAATTCGTCAGCCTCACTCTCTCGTCATTGGATAAAATTGCAAGACTTGGTCAAGACGACTGGAAGCAGACCAGGATGCAGGAGATGACCGGCAGTGTTTCTTGCGTGTTTTACTGTGCTCTCTATGCGACCTATGACACAGGAGTTGTCTGAATTTTCATTGTGTCAATGTCATATTGCCTACGACAGGCCCGCAAAACATACGGCCCGCGGGCCGCATGCGGCTGGCAGCACCTATTTTGCGGCCCGCGAAGGAATGAAATATTATTTATAATTTTTATTTTCTTAATAGCTTTCCACCTTGTCCTATTTTCGTTCGGCCCGCACATGTTTGTTTCATAAATTATCACGGCCCACCTTACATTTCGAGTTGTGCAGGCCTGGCCTGCGGGATTCCATCTCTGGGTCTGATATCAGAGTTTGCCTTCATCCAAGGTTAACGAGTCCCATTCACACGGGGGCGGGGTGAGGGGGGGGCTGGTCTTATTTTTGTGTCTCACCGTGCTTTTGTGCGTTGCCCATCGCAGGAGTTGGACTTTCCATTGTGTCAATACCACAGCGCCTAAGGGACTTCATTTTGATTTGAGAATTTTCCCTCACTTAGATGAGTTGCCGTATAAGGTCAACGAATTCCGAACTACCCGGAGAGCTGGTTTTGTGTTTGCTTTTGTCTACTCTAGTCTACAAGCTTGAGATTGTTTCATTACAAACCACTCGGCACCCTCGAACGGATATATTAAATGTTTTTTTAACCATCGTAAGTTTAATTTTTAAAATGTTTAAGAGATGTGCAACCACGAATTGTACAGCCTATATCAGGATCCCACGCTAGTAGCAAAAAAAAAAAAAAAGAAGGGGGGGGGGGGGGAGCAGGCTACGCTAGGCAGGAAACTTAGAAGAATGCCAAATGACAGACGAGTGAAGAGGGTGCATCACCAAAACCCCAGAGGAAAACGGCTCAAAGGCATGCCTAGGCTTAGATGGATGGATGATGTGGAAAAGATCGACAAATGCTGGGAATCCAAGCATGGAAAAGAAAATCATTAGTTATGTCTGTGTGGAAGGAATTAGTCCAGGCAGGTCAAAGCCCTATATGGGCTGTAGCGCCACAAGGATGGATGGTCTGAGTGGAAGAAAGTAGTGAGACAGTCCAAAGACCTACATGGGTTGTAGCGCCACAAGGATGGATGGATGTAAGATATGTTTCATCCCAGGATATAATGTTTAGCATTAGAATCTCATTTATTTCACCGTAAATTTTATTTTTCGAGTTGGTGACCCCGATATTTTCTTATCCAACCCAGTGAAGTGCTTTTCTGTTATCATTTTAAACACAAATAATTGTCTGAGCACAGTGGTCTTTTGTTCTGATATTTAAAACACCTTACTTTACACTTACTTTCAACGACATGTCAAGTATTTTCTTGTCCAACTCCTCAACTTTTTCATCAGACAAGTTCTTATCTTTCTCCCTCAGCAGCTGTTTGATGGTGAGGTACGCCCACATTTTCTCAACAATTCCGGCAAAGTTTCTCGGTCCACTAAACAAAGGATCCTCTGGGTTCAGGATAAGATTACTGATATCATCTGTCTCAAGTACGAGATTTACTTCCCCTGACTGCTGGACACCTTTGATGGAGAGCTGGAACTCACGGGCCTTATCCAACACTTGACCACATACCACAACTTCAGAACCATTGAAGATGGTGGGGAATTTGTTTTCTGTGAGGGTAAACTCATCGACACTGCTGGGCAAGAATGAGATGGAAATATCTTTCATGACTACTGCGGAAATTTCTTGGTACAAACTGGCCACCTGAAGAGCCGCATCTGATGCTTCGTAGATTTTCCTAGCAAAGCCTGAATTTTGAGCTGAGATAGTCTGCAATGATTGATAGTTGGCACCTTCACCAAATGCCAGAGAGAAGATGGCTGCCTCTTTTCCATTTGCCTCACGGACATTGATAGCAATTTTTTCACAGTTTCTCTCCCCTTCTGTTGGTTCACCATCAGTTAAGAAAAACACCATAGATGCTCTTTTCTTGCTATAATGGGTCTTCAATTCATTGAGAGCTGTTATCAGGGCAAGGTTGATGTTGGTCACTATAACAAAAGAAATAAAAATGTTTATTGTTAATAACATATTTAGTAATAGGACAATCTGGGAAGAAATGCATTTATTTAGACAATTAACAAGCAATATTGAATTATTTAATTTATATAGTAGATTTTTTGTTGTGAAAACAGAGTTTACTCACTGCCAAAGTCAAACATTTTTAGAACAAATTTATCAGCTGCACTGATTTGATCAGCTGTGGCAAAGACAGGATTTTTTTGCCACTTTTGCACATCAGAACTGTTAGAATAAAAGGCAGATATGAGAGACAGACAGTCAGTATGGGGTTCATCTTCTTCTACAGTTAGTAGCCCAGTAAGCTCTTCTTAATAAAAATAAATCAAATAAACATAAAGTAATATTTAATAAAAAGAGATCAAATTGAAATAAAGTAACATTAATAATTTTATAATGCATTTAGTCCTATACCAAAAAAAAAACAACTTTACCTGAAGGTGATAATGTTGAATTTGTCCTGTGGTTTTAGGTCTTTGAGGATGACCTTCATTGCTGTTTTAAGTTGAGCCAATCTGGTACCACGCATAGAAAAAGACAGGTCAAGGACAAAGATGATATCTTTAGGCATCGGGGGCAAATCAGGGGCAAAGAAATGAATGAAGTAACCATCGACAATCTGGGGAAAGACCATTTGTTCTGAAATTAGTTTATTTATTAAAGACATGTCTTCTTAGTAAATATTATCTAGAAATGCAAAGCATTCTTTTTGGTTAATATTTAAGTTTTAACAATGAAAAAAATAAATAAATAAAACATTAATGTTATTGTCAGATTACGTACTGTGGTTTCATTCGCATCGGATTTTTGTTTGAAAGAAGTTTGTTCAAGCGGAAGTTGTTTTTTTCAAATGTAAAAAATACAACAACAAAAGATTACATGTTGTTAAGTTGTTGATGTGTGTGAGAAACTGGTAGATTTGTCCAAATGGAAATATTTTTTTTTTATTAACGGAAGTACTGTTGCCCAGCCATTGAATATTTGGTAAACTACGTAAATATAGAAATATTAAGACTAAAAATTAAAATAAAAAAGTATAATCTCGACACGCCTTGTTATAATTTCGACATTTGACCTTTTTATTTATAGAAGTTTGGATAGTCTCATCTGAATTTGTAACGCTGGGCAAGACTGGTTCTCTTTAACAAATTTTATCTCTAAATACTTTATATTAACTTTTCTTTTGTACGTGTGTGGCTGGCTGGTAAGTTGGCTGGTTAGCAAAACGTTTGGACGGCTAATCGTCCCACTTCCCTTCAACCTATCGAGCTGAAACTTAGCAAATAGACTGATTGTTCCATAACTATGTGTCCATTTTATCGTATTGTAGAGCGGTGTTGCTTGTCTCTTTATTAAATGTGTATAAATTTATTTGGTTGTTTTGTGTATATGTGTTACGTTTCCTTGTAATGACTGGATGCATGCCATGGGAAAATCCGATTGTTTTCCCTTATGTAATGTTGTTTGCTGTAGTCAGGTTTTATTAACTATCATAATATTATCACAATTTAATAATGTGTAAATATATTTTCATCTTTCTTTCTAATGTCTTGTTATATAAATTTGCGCACAAGTGCCTGTAGGTTTTCTTTATGTCTTGTAAATTAATCCCCCTTCTATTTAGATAGGATTAATGTTGCATTTTTTTAATGTTTTGTATTGTTCCTTGAAATATGTAATTCCTGATGTGTAAGTTAATTTGTTTTAAAATTGTTGATGGAGGCCCCCCATATGTTCCCTGTGTATATTGTTTTGGGAATTACATAAGTGTTTATGATTGTTCTCCTGTCAAAAATTGTGTGTGCTGTGTATTTGTGTCTGTCAATTATGTTTTTTTTAATAGATTGCTCAATATTTTGCCATGTTTCTGCGTTAGTTTGCGTCTGTTTATTTTAAAAATAAATCCTTCCTTACTATTGCCAAAGGGAATTCTAATCTATCTTTCCACCTACCAATCCCCATGATTTCAGATTTAGTTATATTTATTTTAGACCCACTACCTCTTCCAAATTCTTGAAATATTGGTATTATTTTTTTATATTGACTTATCAACAATAGGAAAATAATAGTGTCATCTGCATATGCAATGACTTTCATCTCCTTACCCCTAGGGCTCCCTACTCTTTTAATAATATCTTCCCTTCTAATTCTCTCTAGTAGGGGTTCAAAGGAGATGACATAAAGGTAAGGGGATAAAGGACACCCTTTTATAACTGATATGGCCAATTTAATGTCTTCAGAAAGTGTTTATTATAAGATTGCTAATGGAGAATAAAATTTTAACCCAATTAAAAAAAAAACTTTTCCCCTAGTTTGTTGTGTTGTAATATTTTAAGTAGGAATGTGTGAGCTACCCTATCAAAAGCTTTTTCTTGATCTAGTGATAATATGCAAGTTTGGATGTTTTTGTCATTTGAATATTGAATAAGGTCTCTAATGAAATGATTGTGGTTATGTGTGTCCCTGCCCTTGATGCTGCATTGTTGGTTTGTATGTATTAGGGTATTTAAATGTGGTTTTAATTTTAATTTATTTGCTAGTGTTTTTGTTCGAATTTTATAGTCCGTGTTAAGTAAAGATGTGGGTCTATAATTTTTTTAAGTTGTGGTCTGTCTGTATCTCTTTTTGGTAAAAGCGTAATTTTTGAAGTATTCATTGAGTGTGGTAACTCATTGTTGCTGTAAACTTCTTCTAGTGTGGCATGTAACATTGGTCCAAGTGGCATGTAACATTGGTCCAAGTGGCATGTAACATTGGTCCAAGTGGCATGTAACATTGGTCCAAGTGGCATGTAACATTGGTCCAAGTGGCATGTAACATTGGTCCAAGTGGCATGTAACATTGGTCCAAGTGGCATGTAACATTGGTCCAAGTGGCATGTAACATTGGTCCAAGTGGCATGTAACATTGGTCCAAGTGGCATGTAACATTGGTCCAAGTGGCATGTAACATTGGTCCAAGTGGCATGTAACATTGGTCCAAGTGGCATGTAACATTGGTCCAAGTGGCATGTAACATTGGTCCAAGTGGCATGTAACATTGGTCCAAGTGGCATGTAACATTGGTCCAAGTGGCATGTAACATTGGTCCAAGTGGCATGTAACATTGGTCCAAGTGGCATGTAACATTGGTCCAAGTGGCATGTAACATTGGTCCAAGTGGCATGTAACATTGGTCCAAGTGGCATGTAACATTGGTCCAAGTGGCATGTAACATTGGTCCAAGTGGCATGTAACATTGGTCCAAGTGGCATGTAACATTGGTCCAAGTGGCATGTAACATTGGTCCAAGTGGCATGTAACATTGGTCCAAGTGGCATGTAACATTGGTCCAAGTGGCATGTAACATTGGTCCAAGTGGCATGTAACATTGGTCCAAGTGGCATGTAACATTGGTCCAAGTGGCATGTAACATTGGACCAAGTGGCATGTAACATTGGACCAAGTGGCATGTAACATTGGACCAAGTGGCATGTAACATTGGTCCAAGTGGCATGTAACATTGGACCAAGTGGCATGTAACATTGGTCCAGGTGCTGTGCAAAAGAAAAGGTAGAAAAGGTGTTTTATTTTTGTCCATGCTGGACAGTGATGGTTTTAATGTCTGCTCATGTAACAGTTTGGTCCATTTCTTGTGTTTGAATTTTATTTAGTTTTTGTGTAAATTGTGTGTTTTTTTATCTTGTATATCTGACGCAGTTCGCTCTGTTCCAAAAAATGTGTGTGTCGTATTCAAATGTGTTTACTATCTTTTGAGTGTCAGTGTGTGTGTTCCCTTTCTGTGTCAATGATTTGTCCTATCTGTCTACTTTTTTTGTATGTTTTGTTCTGTTGTTAAAAAGATCTTTGTAGGGTGGTACAGTAGAATATTATAAATAAAATAAAATTATAAAAAATGCATATAGAGGATAAATAGGAAAATTTTTGTGTTCAGTTTTAATTTCGTTAAATCCTTCATATTAACTTCGCTTTTGTTCGCGGCTAGCTGGAAAAATCTTCGGACTGCTAAATAATCCCCTTCCCGTCAACCTACCGAGCTGAAACCTGACTCACAACCGATGACAACGCAAACCACAAACTCCAAGGATCTTTTTTTCCTGTTTTTCAATGGGGCAATTCTTGATATTACATTGTATAACCATCAACTTCTGTTTTGGGTTGTTGTTTTTTTCTTTGAATGTAATTTTTGGTATCAACACGAAGGGTGGTCCTTATATGATCAATGGAAAGTTTAGCAACCGCCTTGTAGTGGCACTACACATTAGCCTTGTAGTGGCACTACACATTAGCCTTGTAGTGGCACTACACATTAGCCTTGTAGTGGCACTACACATTTGCCTTGTAGTGGCACGACACATTTGCCTTGTAGTGGCACTACACATTTGCCTTGTAGTGGCACTACACATTTGCCTTGTAGTGTCTTTGAGAAGGGAACGAGGTTTTAGACTGTATTGTCGCTGTTGACATAACGAGGATGACCTACTTCTAGACCAGTTCCTTACGGAAACAATCTGGTTCATTAATGATGTACATTTTTTTAAGAGTAGTTATCCGTTTAATTTTATATCTTTCTAAAGTTGTATTTATTTATTTTTTTAAAAATAAAATTTGTTGAAAAAAGTTTAGAAACAGAAGCCGAAGCTGAAAATCCGGTCGGTCTCTAATTAAAAACATATCACACCACGATCTCTCCTTGGGGTGGATGTTCAACATCATACTGTACAACAAAGCTAGCTGCCACACCACCTTGACCTTGCTGATCCTTCGTTGGTTTGAAAAAAACTTTGGCACTTTGAGAACTGGTTCTGTCAACAATGGTCAGAGGATTCTCATCTTCAACGAAAAAGGAAATTCTATTTTTAAAAAAAGATCTCCCCACTTGTCAACAACAACAACAACAAAAAAAAAAGCAAAATCATAAAATGCTGAATAGACTTTTTTCAGTGAAAGTTATTTGGAATCGCTAAATTTTTTACCAACAAAGAATGTTTGTAAAAAAAAAAATTAATAAAAATGTTGGTAATTTACGTATCTATTTTAAGAAAAGTTGTGTGACCTGCATCTTTATTTGTCAAAAGTGAATCCATGCGCAGAGTTGGCGTTTTTATTGTTCCAATCTTTGTATTCTCCTAAATAGAGGTTGAGAAAAAGAAATGTTATGGTTGATGCATTGTAAAGTCTTGGTGTAAGTTGTCATGCCAAACAGAGTAGCGATGTATGGGAAATGA